TGAATACCTGTAATTTGCATGAGCTTGCCACACTTTCTAGCTGTCAGCAGTGTACTTACGCCAGCATACATCAATTGTGACCTAAAATACTCTGGCTTTTGCAAGTCTTAGGACTCTGGAGAAGAAAATAACTTTGTGCCCAATTTTATCATAGCTTTATAATGATAGTAGTCATTCTTTCTGGACTACAGTTAGCCTTGCAAAAATGGGAGTCACCAGCAGGTCTATTATTTATGTTACTAGGTGCCAGCTACCTTTAACTCTTACCTTCACAGAGTTGGTCCTCAGATAGGCACTGCAAAATTAGGAGAAATTGCACCAATAGCTCTGAACTTATAAACTTCTCTTTCCCTTTTCTTATATCTTTAGGGGGGAGCCTCAAAGGTTCCCCAGCTTTGCCAAGTTGCAGTCAACACTGCCCATTTTATTAAAAAATAACTTTATTGATGCTAATTGTTTTTATATCATAGTCACTTTGGAGAGGAGGTACTACCCATTTCTTAGAATAAGCCTTCCCTTGAAATTAAAACACAATTTGTAACTTATTTTATAACTAAAAAATTAATTAGATAGAGTGCTTGCATCTGATAATGTACCCAATGGACTGCATCACAAGTAGTCCTCTGATTTACTGGCTCTTCATTTATTCAGAATTTGCTTCCTCTTAATGATCTTTTCATTTACATTTTAGTCATTGTGAACATAGTTCTCCTGGTTCTGTTTATTTCACTGTGCATCAGTTCATGCAAATCTTTCCATGCTTCTCCGAATTTCTCTTATATGCCATTTTTTATTGCCCAATAATATTCCATTGCATCCATATTGAAATAAGGCAAGGCATTGAAACTATGTTTTCATTGGTATGAGAAACTCCTTGGTGAGGAAATTCTACCAATGCAGGTTGGCAACTTATCTACAACTTAAAGCCTTAGAGAACTGTCTAGGGTACTGAGAGGTTGAGTGATTTACTCAGGGTCACACAACCAGTATGTAGGACTTGAACCCAGGTTGTCTTGACTCTTAGACTTTTTCTCTCTGTCTCTCATTCATATAACACGCTTTTTAAGCCACTCCCCCTTGATGGGTGTGCATTCTATTTCCAAATCTTTGCCATGGCAGAGTGATGTTATGAATTTTTTTTTAATGTCTGACTTTTATTTCTGTCTTTGACCTCCTTATATCATATGCCCATCAATGGGTCATGTAATATGGGCATTTCAGATATTTTGTCCGAATAATTCCAAACTGATATACAGAAAGACTGGATCAATTCCAGGATTCAGCTGTATGATTATACCTGTCATCCCACTGCTGCCTAGTTTTAGCAAGAGAGGAGAAGGACAAGCATTTGTAAAGTTAAGGCTGTTTCAAGGCTGCACTGAACTATTCTCCCCTCTTGATACTGTTGCAAAAGAAGCAATTCTCAACTGCCTATGGACTATTTGGCAGGAATACTTAAGTAGCTGAGGAGTGATCAAAAGCAAAGAGGACAGGAGCAGCAGCACTCAAGAACAAAGGAGGCATATCTGTACAAGTCTGGTAACACTAGGAGCTGACATTCAAAGGAAGGAATAGCTCTTTTTGAACAATGTCTGTAGACCTGTGAGTGTAACTATCCATGGACCAAACTCTATATCCTGGATATAGATCCTAGGCTTATCCAAAGTCTCCATCACAAAACTGCTACCAGAGTCTGAGAGATTCAGAAGAACCTTTTGATATATGAAATTATAATTCTGAAGAATGTGAAATAGGGACATGTCCTAGCACTCTTATAACTTTATATCTAAATAACTTGGTATGGCTATTAGATGAATTGGACATATGCCCTCTAGTTATAGGACATGAAATAGCATCTTTATGTGGATAATACGATTTTATCAACTTCAACTAGATTGCTGACAACTCATTCTGTTAGGCCTAACAGGATGCAGCCTCACTCAACATATATCAAAAACAGACATTTACATATTCAAATTAGAAAAAAGAAGAAATATTTATAAATAATAGTACCTAAAATTTTACCAAATAATGTTCAAAAAGTGTACATCTCTGCCTAAACAATATAGTAAAAAATATCATCTCCCTTCTCCATCTAAATCGCTGTCTGGGTTGAGTTATCATTATTATTCTTATTATTTACATACCTTATATGGTTTGGTTCCACATTCTTCCCTCATTACATACATTTCATGTCTTCCCATTTTTTTTGTAATCTTCATATATGTAATTTCTTATGACTTAATAATATTCCATTACATTCATTTACTACAACTTGCTCTCAGTTCCCTAATTGTTATACACATGAGTTGTTTTTTGGATTTTGCTATTACAAATAGTGCTATGAGTAATATTTTTGTGCAAATGGGTCTTTCCCCCTGTTAATAGCTTTTATAGGGTAAAAGAATCACTACATTAAAGATATGAACAGCATTGTAGCTCTTATTATATAATTCTGTTTTGCTTTCTAAAAAGAATGCATGAATTTATAGTTCTAACAGCAGTGTAATAACATTCTTGGTTTTCCATACCCATGACAGCAAATAATTTTTACCATTTTTAACTATCTTTGGCAATTTGATGGGAGTCAGGTAGTGCTTCAGAGTTATTTTAAATTATGTTTTTCTGATTATTGGAGCACTGAAAAATTTTGCAAACAATTATTGAGAATTTATGTTTCTTCTTTCGAGAACTGTCTTTCTTTTATTACATTTTAAGCACACCTTGACTGGTAATATAGTGCAACCTGCAACCTGATTTGTACTTTGTGTCACCTGCAATTTGGATTCTTCTGATATTGTGGTGTTCCATGATTGTGAGTGATATGGTCATATAACATCAGTGAGTATATATCATTGTTTAAAAAAAAAAAGATAGATTTTTGTAACAGCAACAGCTTTGATTCATTGAAATTGGAATTCACCAAATGCAATCTACCTGATTTTTTTCTTTTTATTAATTTCTTGGCCTAGTTCGATCTTTATCTGCAATGTCTGCTCAAGATACATGTGTCTTTTAAGAGACACTACAGAGTGGTAGCTAATGGATCCTTGGAGTCAGGAAGAACTAGGATCAAGACCTTTTTCTGATACCTCTTGGTTGTTTGACCATGGGCAAGTCACTTAACCTCTAAGTTTCCCAGGCTTTCATTTTTGTATATGTGCACGAGTGTGTATTTGTATGGCTCAATATATATAATGTATGTATTTTTTTATTTGGTCTGACCTGTGACTTCATTGACACAGTCAGTTTCTGATGAATAAACTCTCTACCAATGCATATGAGTAATTACTCAAGTAGTTACACAAGTTCTGAAACTTCTTGCCTAGGCAAAATGACAACTTAAATGACTTGTCTAGGATCACACAATTAGTATGTGTCAGAGGAAGGATTTGGATTCAGTTTTCCTGACTTTGAGGTTAGCTCTCGTGACTTTGAGGTTAGCTCTCTATCTACTACATCATGCTCTCATATGTATATACATATGGATTGACTAATTCAATGGGGCTGTCTAAATGCATGCAAAATTTGGGCTACCTGTGTTTTTCAACTAGCTTGTTTTTACAGTGTAAGTGTCTAAGTTGATATCTTTGGATTGATCAAGAATTAGACTTTGGAAGTCCTACGGTTTCCTGGGGCTCATATATTCAACATATTAATATGACTCACACACTATAAGGCTCTTAATAAATACTTATTTAAATGAATTGAATCCAAGTTCAATGCTTTGGAAACAAAATAGAGAACTTTTTTAATATGTAAAAATGTCTTTCAGATACATGTCTAGTGAATAAGGGAATGAATCCAAAAGTTGTCTTAAAATATTTTAAGGTCACTAATATAAAAGAGGGAGCATACTTGTTCTATGTTATTCCAGTAAGTAAAATAATGATCAATGAGCAGAAGTTATAAAAAAGCAGATTTAAGTTCAACATGAGAAATAATTTTTAAATTAAGTTGTCCCTCAGTAGAATGTGGTGTCTCTAAGAGATAGGTACTACTGGAAAATATACAACCAGAAGTTGGATACTAGACTAATTCTTCTTAATTCTAGTGTTTTTCCTTGGTTAATTATTCCCTATTTATCCTGTATGTATCTTGTTTGTACATATTTGTTTGCTTGTTGTCTCTACCATTAGATGAGGGCTGGGACTGTCTTTTATCTTTTTTTGTATACCCAGCACTTAGCACTGTGCCTAGCATATAGTAGGCACATAATAAATGCATATGGACTGACTACTTTTTGATTGATAGATAATTATAAGGACACTGCATTGTGTGAAAATAAATTAGATCTTATTCACAGATGCAACCTTTGTCTGGATGCTGAGAGAAGAGGAAGACATTTTTTCATGTGCGAAGACAAGGATATCTACCCCATCAACATTTCTATTTTCTGTAAAAATGGCAAACATTTCTTCAATTATGGTCAAAATGACAGTATAAATTACCTAAAGATAAATAATCACAGGAAAAAGGCATAGTTTATACCTAAAAATAATAAGCTCCTTAAACTTACAGACTTTTTGAACACTATAGCAATCTTTTATATTAGGTATAATTTAAAATTGATGGCCATTTCCCTTTTTTTAAATGCTTTCTAAAGTTGAACTTTTTACATTCTGATACTGAAAAAAGTTTAGCTCTGCTTTCTATTCTCAAACACAATACCACAATCAATAAGAACCACCAGACATTCTCTAATGCTAAATTAAGTCAAGAAAACATATGACTATATAATTAGAAAATACATCTCATTTCAATTTATCATAAAATATTTATATTTAAGGAGAGAGAAGAATGTGAATAATAATACATTTTCTTCTTTTTCCAAATTAAGAATTCCTAATCTTTAACAATGCCAACATAAATAGAAATAGACATTAATATGGGAAAGATTTGAATTGTGAATCAGAAAAACCAATTATAAATGACAATTTTCTACACTGTTTTAGTTTGGAACAAATGAAGCCTAGCAAATAGTAACAAACTTAACTCACCTTGATGGCCTGACTGTAAGGTCCAATGTTAGCAGGTGCCCAATGAGAAATACTCTGTACATGCATCACTTCTTTGGAGTAAGGAAGTACTTCACCAATCATTATGTTGAACTTGTGAGCAAGACAGTCAACTGAAAAAAGTAGTCTATCTGGCAACAAAGCTTCTACACAGACCCTGAAACAAAACAAATTTAAAAATGCTAATATGGAGCAGCCATTTCCTCAGATGCTACAATTTTGTACAAGAGGTTTTCTAGAACATGATCTTCAAGGCGTATTCTAAAAGCCTGTCTTATAATTGAAACAGTGCTTTAATGACACTTTCCATGGTAACTTTGGTAGCCTAGAGTGAAAGAGTGATGTAGTTTTAGTCAAGAGAGATATGGATCTGTATCTCACCTCTGACACTCACTGTGTGACCTTGGACAAGGTGGTTCACCTCTGAACTCATTGAGGAAGGAACCATTTCATTTTTTGTCTTTATTCCCTATACCCAGGGCAGTACCTTGTACCTAGTAGGCATTTAGTTAGTGTTTATTGAGGTGAACTGAAATGGAAAGCCAGGGAATCTTTTTTCAATGGGAAAGTAGTAATCACTGAGCAGTAAGATGAGAGCTTTTGGGAAAAAAAAGGAATAAATAAGAAAAAGATCAAGAAACAATCAAATTAAACAATTAAACTATTTTAAAAGTACTATAAGTCTTTAAAAGATTATATGCTTCTCAAGGGTAGAAACTATGCCAAATTTCTTGTGAATCATATACACTACCTGCTGAAGTGCTGGAAACACAAGATAATGTATTCATAAAGTATTCAACTTCTTAAAGCACTCCTAAATCCTCAGTGGATCTAAAGTGGGTATTCAATAAATATTGTTGGTTGGAAAAGATGAGTTTATATAGATGAATAAATTACAAAGATGAGAATGAAATAAAGAACGGTGGGAGCTAGGAAAAGTGAAAGTGGAGATACCTGCTGGTACTGTAGTCACATTTCTAAGTCAACCGTTTTAGGATTCAACAGAGTTATAAAACTGAAAATGGGTGTTGGGACCCTGGGTTTTACAACAAGCAGTGGCTCAGGAAAGCAGAACAAGAGGAAGGGTTGTTTTTCTACTTTTCTGACAACTCAATCAGAATTTCAAACTTCTACGAGGTTATAAGGAGTGGCTAGGTGAGAAGTGAGCATGAATGGCCTGGGTAAATGGTGGTCTCAAGAGCAGAAATTCACCCATAGGAGCAAGCGGGCTTGCAGACAGGAGGCATTTCCAGAATAAGAAGGCTGCTGGGACAGAGATAAAAAAGCCCAAAGAGTAAGGAAAGGAGCAAAGTAAGGAAGAAAAATCTCTTCCAGAAGACGGGATTTGAGCTGAGTAATGAAGTAAATCAGAGGCAGTTAGATGGCTCAGTGGCTACAGCACTGGACCTGAAGTCAGAAAGACCTGATTTCAAATCTGGCTTCAGACACTTATGAGCTGTGTGATCCTGGGTAAGTCACTTAACCTCCATTTGCCTTGTAGGCAGCTAGTTATTTCTAAGGACATGAAGATTAAGTAAATAATAAAAACTAGATCATTTTGAAATTATGGATCTGAGATAATTTGAATTATCAAATAAAATGTTGATTGATAACAAGGATGGAATATCAATTCATACATTATGTGGTTTTCACAGTGAAGTTGCTGAACTAAATATGATTTATGTCAAAAAAGCAGGAATTCCTTCAAATCTATAATAAATGCAGGTGTGTAACTGAAAATAACCCCCTCTGGACTTACTTTAGTTATTTTGTTTCAGCATAAAATACAAGCAGAAAATATTAAAAGGATATTGGACATTCACTGTAGCTATATTATTTAAACAGACATGCAAAACTAATTGATAGTAAAGTTATTCTTAAATGCTGAAAAAAATTGTGAGTTCTCACCTGCTATCTGTTGAAGCTGTGACCCCAGGGAGGCAAATTAACTGGGACACTTCAAGACGTAAGCATTTGGTCCAGCTTTATTCATCACTTAAAGACAGTTGGGACATAATTAAGCCCAACTCAATTTTTGGAGGATACCCACAGGAAATTCATAATAAGTATCTCTCATGAATGTTTATATGTATCCCTATCCCAAAACTTCATCAATACATGGCCTTTCCTCTCCTGGACATGATAAACACAATTATCTTTGGATGTAAAAATACCCCTTTCTGGGAAGTCCTAAAATGTCTCCTCTTCCATTCTTACTACACTTGCAGAGTCCTGTTCCCTCATCTATCTCTTTTTGTTCCTTGTCCCTTCTAGTCCCTTATCAGACTTAGTCTCCCATACTGAGAGATTAAGGTTCAGTTATTTTCTCAAAATGGGGTAACCAGTGAGTACTGTCATGTGTATGATCTTTAAATCAAAACTTTACAATAAGATATCTCTCAGAAAAATCACCATATTGTTCCTTCCCTGTTGCTTATACTCTCTCTTGGTAATATAATCAAGCTCCCATGGTGTCAATTATCTCTATGTAGATGACTCCCAAATCCATAAACCCACCCCCAACTGACCTTCCCCACCACACTTTTCCTATTTCTGCTGAAGCCATCCAATTTGCAGTTCTTGATGCTTTCCTTGCTCTCCTCTGCCTTCCATATACAATCAGTTGCCATGTCTTAGTGATTTGGCTTTATGGCACCTTTCCCAACAGTTCCTTTTTCCTCCCCTCACTTGACCACACTAATTAAGACTCTTGTCTTCTCTCAGGTGAACCATTGCAATGTCTTCCTAATTCGTATCTCTACTTCTAGTCTTCTGGCACACAGTTTAGCAAGTGTCTGAGGCCACATTTGGACTGAGGTCTTCCTGACTCCAGGTCCAGTGATCTATCCACTGAGCCATGTGGCTGCCTCATATAATCCTTAGTTTTCCTCAAAGCTCAATATGCCACCTCCTTCAGGAAGCCTTTTGTAATCACTTAGTAATTAGTGATCCCTCATAAAAAATTATCTTGCATTATTTCACTGTTATATCTCCCATGAGATCACAAGCTCTTTCAGTGCAAGGACTATCTAACTTTTTTTGTCTTTGCATTCTGGTTCCCGTTACAGGCTATAAAAAAAAAATGCTTGTGAAATTGAATTGTTTGTCTATTGTCTTTGATATCTGCTCTCTCTCTACTTCAAGATGCTATTCCCTTCTTAAAAAATTATTTTGTCCAACAGGTTATTCAACCTAATCTAACATATACTTTATGTCTGAAATAAGACACATTGTTGTATAAAAATTTTTGTTTTAAGTGTGTATGGTTTGGGTAATTTTACTTGATATAAAAAGCTTGGGAATTACATGAAGCCAAACTTTTAAAGTCTGACAGAACTGAGAGATGGGATTAGTATTTCAAAGAAAAAGTAGTCTTCCCAGATTAATGAGATCATATTCTGGTCATTCTTTTTGGTATGTCTCTCCTAAGAATTTATCTATTCACTTTTCACTGAGTCATTCTGCATTTGTTACATGCTGCTTTAAAACTTCTCATATTATTTCATGGGAATGTTTTTTTCTCTCAAAGTGCCCCAAGGATGGAGATCTTTTGCTTTTATTTTTTTATGTAGACCCCTAGAATAGTGCTGCCCACATAGTGGGTATTCTGTAAATACTGGTGAATGTCAAGAAGATCCACTTATAAACATCCACTTTTCTGGAGAACCATGGGATGCCAAAACAATTGGTCAGTTCAGTGAAGCATCAGTCAAAATCTTTATTTGATGTTTGTGTAGACAAAACAACTCCTTCACTGTTGGCTTTTTTCAGTCTGTGGAAAGAGCCTGAGGCAGATTCATCCAAAGGGCAAGATAGAACTTCTGGGAGTTTCTGTTGTCTGAGATTGTATTTATAGGATTTAGAAGACGGGAAAGTGGGTATGTGGTTATGCAGTTATATCTGGGGTCCGAAGGTAGGGTGGGGAAAGATTTGTTAGCAGTGCTAACATTCTGAACATAAGGACTTCTTCTCACTCTTCAATCATCTCCAATACATAAGTTTTATTTCCTCTGGAGATTTTTGTTTCCTAAGCATAAATACACATTAACTATAGAATCTCTGTCTTGGACTTTTATCTTCCTCTTAAGGATTACTAAAGGTAGTTGTACAAAATGCGAAACTATTTAAGGGAACAATTGGCATAGGGAAATAAGAGAGAGAAGTAAAAAGGCAATCATAGATTAATGAACCACTGTTATAACTGAATAATACACTAGATATAAAGAAACATCATGCAATTGTAAGGGAAGACAAAAAGATAACATGTATAGTGGTAGCAGTTACATACCTTGTAGGTGGACACACATTGAACATTTTCACATATGCTGAATTTATAGCAGAAAAATCTTCCATATTTCTGATGAACATGTAAACCAAAATAATATCTTTCAATTCCAATCCCTTTGCATTGATAACAGCTGTAAAAGAAAAATTTTACTATTAAAGCTATGAAAATTACCAATCTGTCTAGGATATTTTAATTTGAGATTTTTTTTTCCCATCAGAGCAAAAGATTACAACTGTCTGGGTTTAATCCAATGAGCATTTAGTAAAAGCATTCTTCTTTTAGGCAAGCCTGTGCAATATGTTGGGAATCGAAAGAAAAAAGCAACAGCATTGAAAACAGTTCCTACCCTCCAAGAAGCTTGTATTTCATGGGGGTAATACAAAGAGTAAAACGATGAGAATGATCTGAAAAATACACCGAACCATGGTTAAAGAAAGGGTTTATCTTGGCCTGGGTTGGGGAGACTATTCTACATAACTGAAGTTTGGTTAAGTCAGGCAAGCAAAAGTCAAAAATAAACAGTAACAAAAGGCTAAACTGGGCACTTACCAGATGAGCACATGTCAAGAGGTATCTAATTAGAATATCAAGTTACAGAAGGCCTAGGCCAGGGCTTAGTCAGACAGGAATGAGACTAATGAAATCTGTACAGAGAGCAGGGCTAGAACCAATCTGATAGGTTAGAGTAGGAAGATAGGTGTGGCCTGGGCCTGCCTTAGGCCAGGGCCCTGGTAGCTTACTGGGACAAAAATGAAACATTTGTAAGTTAATAAAAAGAGGCTTAGCCTTTGCAGGTGAAGGACATTAAACAAGGATCGGCATTTAGGACATCTCTGAATCAGCTGAGCAAAGTTCTCTGGTCTGCGTCATCCATTGTGACCCATCAGCCAAAGCTCTGAGAGGTTCCCCTCTGCTTCCTTCCCATCTCTAGGTCTTTCTGGCTGCTCTGTACTCAAAAGATGAAGAGGAAATGTTGACAGTCTTAGCCCTTAATCTCCTGAGCCAACCAGGTTTCAAGAAATGTCTCAATAGCTTTTAAGGAAATATTAGTTGACCTCCAGGGGGGAGGGTTTAAGCTACTGCTTCTACCACAACAGGAAATGAACCTTCTCTGACAGAGACAAATTGAATGGATGAGATGGTAGATGGGCAAATGAAACAGAGAGGTTAAGACAGGCAGATATGAGGGAGGTAGTTGGGCTGAGGTCAGAAACATGATTTGGGAAAAGAAGATGGGCAGCTTCTTTTTAAAAGGTCAACTGAAAGCTTCCTGGGTTCTTGGGTGGTTCACAGTGTTATAGGGCCTGTTCTTTTGGAACCTACATCTACTTTATTCCTCTGTCGGTCAAAAGCATCTGCCGAGTCTGTGACGGGAGGTGTGTAAGGCAATCCTTGGGATTGAAGGGGAACTGTGTTAGCACCTCAGCAGTTGTGGCTACTATTACCAGGACATCTGCAACAAGGTATCTGGGATCCATGAGAGACTGAGGCATGGTGAGTTAATGTTTTTTCTAGTCTTTGATCACTTGGATGTTTCTTTTTTGAAACCTTGTTCTGAGTTATTTTGATCTTATATCATAGTAACTTAAGTGAATATTTTTTCAACACAGCCATCATTATTTAAAATTCACAAAGGTTTTCTCTTCATAAACAGTCTAACAGGCGGCAGACATAAATGAATAAAATAAACTGCTTTGTAAACCACTGGGATTTAATGTAATGGTTTTAGGCCTTAGTACCCTCCTATCTTTCTGGTTTTTTAACATAATGGTCCCTTCTACCTGCTCTGTGGTCCAGCCATACTACTCCTCCCATAAATGTTCCATTTCCCATCTCTGTGCCTTTGCACTAGATGCCCACTATGTCTAGAATGCTCTTCCCTCCTGTCTATACTGACTCTTAGAATCCCTGGCTTCCTTTAATACTCAATTCAAGCATCACTTCCTTCAGGATGCCTTTCCCAGCCCCCATGGTTGCTAGCATCTTCTCCTTTAAGGCTACCTTTTTATCTGCTGGGTATTTACCATGTGTATATTGATTTATCTATGTTGTCTCCTCCAATAGAATGCAAACTCTTGAAGGCTTTTTCTTTGTATCCCCAGTACTTAGCACTGTGCCTATCCCAAAGTAAGCAATTATTAAATGCTTGTTGATTGATTACTCAAATTGCCTTCTGGGCTGGTTGACAAGTCACTAAAGAATGCTAGTTTTATAACCTTTAAAGGTATTTTCTAGTTTGATCACAAACCTCAAATAACTGGTCTTGGCTCTGAACAACTTTTATCTGCTTCCAGAAATCAAATTTACTCCAAGGATAATGATTTGCCATTAGCAATACTTGAAGATAATGAATTTCTGTTGAATAAATGAATGCTACCATTGAGGATATTCAAAAGTATCTGCTGTAGACTCTGAAGGAAATTCCAAAGTGAAGTTTCAAACTAGATTTGAGTAATAAAGAATACATAGGCTCCCAGGGTAACCATGACGTGTCTAAGAGTTATTTGAATAAATAAGTTCAGATATATTTGCTAAAAGACATTAACATCACTTTACAGTCATACCCCATAATTCTGATGCTATTTAAAACTGGTTTTCATTCAGATGAATTTCTCTGTACAGATGTAAATGAAAGATCGGTACAAGAATGTTCTTTCTGAAGAAGTCTGTAAGAGCTAAATGCTTTCTCAAGCAACTCAATCTTTAAAGGCCTAAGTGAAAGTTCTTTCCATTAGCATTAATACCATGGAACCATTAACATTTGCTATACCTTAAAAAAGAAATTACTTCCAGTGGAAATCTAGCTGTAGCAGGTTTGCAGTGCTAAAGCTCAGAAAGTACTTACAGTATGAATTTCTGAATGTTAAAAAACAAAACAAAAACAAGGCATTGTAGCCCTTAGTTTTTGTTTAGTGAATCTAAAAACTAAGCAAGTCCCTAGTATGTTGGAATTGCTTCAATACTTGAATAACTTCATAAAATTCATTCTAACTTAAAAAGTGTCCTTAGTTAAACAAAAAGAAAAGGCAAAATGATCTAGTTTAAGATGAATGGACATTTATCAAAGCAACTAACTGCAGCCATAACTGCAGAGGACAGCTGACAACTATACTATCTGAGAAAGCTACTCACTTGAGGATCAAAGTAATATAGACAGTCACCTCTTTTTTCTCCTCCTAGTTTGAAATTCTATGTCATTCTATATTCTCTCTGTAAACAAAAGTATCAAAGAAAAAAAGGAAACAAAATAGATTTTTAAGAGAGGTGTAACTTTTCTTACAGGTTGCTCCCACGAAAGTATTCTTTAAAATAATAAATAAAATAATAATTTCAAGTGGGTCACAAAGCCAGAATTCCAATTGGTCAGTCACCAAGTATTTATTGAACATTTACTATATGTCAGCAGGCACCGGGCTATATTCTGGGGACAAACACAAAGAATGAAACAATCTTTACTCCCAAGGAGCTTAACTTCTGATGGGGGAGACTACAACTACATACATACTATACATATACATATATACATACATACATATATATATATATAATATAAAAATATATGTTTTACAGAATAAATATAAAGAAAATAAATACAAAGAGAGCAGGGTTGAGGAGGGAATATATTCCAGGCATAAGAGAAAGCCAGTGCAAATAATCCTGGGAAAAGACAGATTTTGAAAAGAGGCCAGAACTTTTATCATGCATTCAATACATGCTTGTTAAATGATTCAAATAAAACTTTCCCTTTAGAAATACATTATTTTCTGGAAGGAAATTTAATTTTGTGAAGAGGAAGAATTTATTTATGGAGGGGCAGATTGACTGATTTCAAGCACTATTTGCATCCTGATTAGACATTTTTTGTTCATGCATTTTCTGTGGATTTTAATTCTTATTTCTATCCTTCAAAAGACTCATGATTTTCACTGGAGAGGACAGTCTCTCCAACAATGGAGACTGCAATCTCTCCATTCCCAGTAGATAGTTTAGATAGTAGCTATGGTTAAAATATTTATCACCTAGTGGCCAGCCCTCTGGATATAAGCATTCCTGAAATTACCTAGGTTAGTTCTTGGACAATTAATTGCTGAGTCTATTGCGAGGCCTAACCTTTTGAGGTCTTTTTGTGTGTGTATGTGGGGGGGAGGAAGAGTTGTATTTCACCAGTATAGCTTTCAAAAACTCATGGTTACTGGCACAATGTGATAACCAATTAGACTAAGATTTTAATGAAGTATTGACTTTAAGTATCTCAAGGATTGTCACATAAAAGAGGGATTAGTCTAGTTTGGTTTACTCACAGAGAGCAGAATTATAAGCAATGAGTAAAAGTAGCAAAGAGGAAAAATTAATTCTGGTATAGTGAAGATCTTTCTAACATTGAGAACTATCTAAAAGTGGAATGGGTCATCTTGGGAGACTGTTCTCTCTTATTTGAGGACTCCAAGAAAAGCCTGGTCATTTCTTAGGCATCTTGTAGACTGAATTCTTTTTCAGGTATAGTTTGAACTAGATGGCTGCTCAAGTGCCTTCTAACTCTCAAATTCTGGGATCTTGGATAAGTGTAGAACCTTGGGCAGGTTATTTCACTTCCTGAAAACTTAATTTCTTTGTACACAGATCATAAGCAAGATTTAAAATGATTGTATTAGATTAGATGCCATCAAAAGTTTTTTACCTCTTAAGATATGAAGCTATGACCTGCAGGTTGGGTGCTCAGAATCCACAAATATTTCTTAGTTAGATATGAAGAAATATCAAAATTATTTAGTGAAATGTAGAAGGGTGGAACTCACTTGACTCGTATAATGCTATACTTAACAAAAGAAAATTCCTAACTGATTCAAACAGGGTTAAGTGACTTGCCCATGGTCACACAGCTAGTAAGGGTCTGAGGTTCAGGTCTTCCTGACTTCAGGCCTGGCACTTTATCCAGTAGCTTTAGGTCTTTCCGTACGTTTACCTTAAGGTCAATAAGGGATTCTAGTCATTCTTGGGGATTCAGATTCCAGGATAAAACAACAAAAATCATTAAAGGATTAGGAAAAAAAAGGCCAATGAGAAAAGGCCAGTAAGAAATGGGCTTATTTGGTTTGCAGAAAAAGATCAAGAAATAAGTTAAGAATTTTCAAATATAAGATTGTCATGATGACAATGATAAACACTATATGAATGAATCTAAATTATGAGAGGGATATAGTTTCAACATTAACAAGAATAAATATTAAGGCTGAGGTTTGGGAGGCACATTTGTAAAATGTGTGGTATGACTGTGGTATGATCCCTTTATTCTCGGATGCTTTTTTACAAATAGTAGAACAAATAGCAGTAAATGAAGTGATTTATGTTTAGGACTCCCTGAATGCTAGAGCTGGACCAGGTAACTTTCTGAGGTCTATTCCACAGCACACTCTATAATTGGAAGTTCAAACCGAAGACTGCTTGGTTGTGCTGTTTAGAGGATAAATCTTAGACCATCAAGTGGTTTTAGGTCTATTTGTATCAAAAGAATCTACTGAAGTAGGCCAATGATCATTCCATAGCCATTAAAGTTTTATGCAGCATACTACAAAGATTATCTTACGTAGAGAAGGTAATTTCAAAGGATATTGTATATATACCTACATGCTACTTCATTGGCTCATTGAGACAAATTCATGAACTGCTACAATCAAACACTCAGATTTATTAATTACTTCCTCATCATTACTACTATTACTATCACTACCACCACCACCACCACCACCATTACCACCATTACTACTATTTACTATTAGCTAAAATTTATAGCTAGGAATTGTGCCAGGAATTGAGCTAAGCACTTTACAAACCCTGGGAATTAGGGGTTATTAGCATCATCCCCATTTTACAGATGAGAAAACTGAGGCAAACAACAACTAACTGACTGGTGTAAGGACACACAGTAAGAGTCTCAATTTAGAATTGAACTCGAGTTTTGCTGACTCCAGGCCTGGCACTCTATCCACTGTGCTACCTAGGTGCTGGAACTTCCAAAACTTTCATTCACTGCTATGAATTTTAGCCAAATATCATTATGAAAAACAATGATGCGCCTTATCCACTTCGAGTATGCAGCAGAAGCAAGTTGCTATGCCAATACCACAGAGAAAAGAAAGACAGCATAGCATAGCATGGCGTCAGGTAAAATAGAATGGACTATAATGGCACTACAATGATATTTTTGAGAGGTTCCTCATAAAAGTAAAACTAAAGTCACTTTACTGGGAAACACTGCTTAATCCTGAAACTTAGAAAATATAAATTATTTTGCTTGCTATGGCATTCTGGTTCATTCCTAGCTAGAAGGAAGAATATTGGTCAAGGGTCAGGTTGTGAGAACAAAGGAAGATACACAGAAATGACAGGCTCTCCCATGGCATCTCATCCTCCCTCTGCCCATACCCCTCCCCCTTGCCCTGCAAATGTGCAGGAGAAAAGAGTCCAATGTTTAAGATAGGCATCAAAGATAATTTAAGGCAAGATGTATCAAAATAACAGATTGAAAATATTTATCAATTAAGTTCATTAAGGTAGAATCTTTTTTTTTTTTTGACTAGGCAATGGGGTTAAGTGACTTGCTCAAGGTCACACAGCTAGTAAGTGTTGTGTCAAGAGGCCGGTTTTGAACTCGGGTCCTCCTGAATCCAGGACCGGTGCTCTATCCATTGTACCATCTAGCTGCCCCAAAGTTTCTGGCTCTAAGGTGGAATCTTAACAGTTCACTGATTCTAAATTAAAAAAAAAAACTGGTAGACCCATATAATTGCTAGTTAAAAACTTAAAATGGAGAGGAGTCCTTATAGGTCATAAAAAGATAACACAGAATCATTCTTAATGGAATAGGTTCCAGATATAGAGGATACAACTTGGCTTTTTGATCTATGCAAATAAACCTCTTAAAAATGTCAGTGAGGAATATTAGAAAGCATGAAATAGTTGTTATTGAAAAGTATGTATGAGAATTTGATGATCATCTAGCAAATTAGTTATTAACACTCAAACTTTATTGAATGCTAATTTCATGAATATTATATATGAGCAATAGTATAATATTTACCATATTCTATGAAATGAGGATCAATTTTCAACAAATTTACATCTAAAATGCTTCCTATGATTTATCAACAATAAGAAGAGTTTACTCTCTGATCTCAGCCTGCTAAAGTCTAGGAGAAAATACAGATTTCTAAATTCTCCTGGCCAAACTCATCTTCTTTAGGCGTGATTAAATAAATTAACCTTGCAAAAGGAAGGTTAAAAGGACTTCTGTATACTTCTTTCTCACAGCATGTGATAGAACAGGCAGAAGTTTTGAGTGAACTGCTGGTGGGGTTCAGGAAAAGCACATACCAGCAGATGATCAGCTCTCCTCTAACTAAAATTTGGCAAAGAAACATACTGTGGTTTCTTCAGATGACAGCATCATAATTCATTTAGCTCTCTCCTACCTCTTCAAAAAAAGGCCAAAACCCCACAGGAAATGTGAGCATTGACATTTCTACCCAGGACCAAAAAGGGACTATTTTGCCAAAAATTGAAAACAATACAGCTAATACTGTAAATATACAGTAATGTGTTGAAAGAAGTCGGTTGCTGAACTGGTCAATGACACAATCTGTCATTTTTTTTTTAATATTCTGATAGATGATAGGTAAAAATAAATATGTTTGGACTGGCAGATACCCATGCAAATATGATGAAAACCAAGTAAGTGTTATAGATCCCTCTTGCATCAATTTACAGATTATACCCCAAAGATTTATACTGAACACTGGTGCTTTTAACAGCAAGTCTGATTATACCATTCTAGCTGATTTCCAAGCTGTTAAAAACTAGCTTAAGGGCCATCTAAAAGATATGATTTCTTTGCTTTCTAAAAAATGCTAAACCTTCTTTATCACTCTGTATTCAGTCATGAACTCAGCTGCACAAGCCAAACGTAAAGATTTTATGGGCCAATCCATCATGAGAATTCGTGAACAAGAATACAAGTCTACTCATGCAGACACTAAGACTGATTTCCATTTTTATGAATGAAAAAGAGCCCTGCATAAACATCCTTTATTTAAAGTTTAAAATGAAGAAAGATGCAAAACAAAATGGGGACATTTTGTTTTATATGTCATTATCTTGTAAGAGGGGGTTAGTAAGGACTCTGGCTTATAAGATTCCCAAGATAGCACTTCCTTCTCTGCATTAAGTACGTCAATGAAATTTATGTTTGCTGACCTAATCCTACATGCCAAAACGTACAAAAGCAACAGCTCTCTAGAAAAATTAATTTAAAATTATGATGTTAACAAAAGTACTCTAGGAAGCTCCTAGTATTGACAAACACATAGATGTACATGCAACCAGGAGCCCCAGGATCCAGTGATTTGAATAAAGCTCTGGAAATATATTTTGGAAATAATTCAATACTACATATTTTATATTTCTCCCCTTTCTGGCATTTTGTTAGTTTCCAAATTAAAGCATATCTATATGTAGTCAATATTAAATTTAATAGTATCCAAATCATGAGTGCTTGCTAAAGGTATTGGTTATAGGGTAGCACAAATCCTATAGGCTATTTTAGAGGACTAAGATTTAAAACAACAACACATCTCTTCATTCTTTTCCTAAAAGTAAAGAAAAAATAGTTGCATTATTCAATGTGAAAATGATTAGAGTAAGCACCTTGGAGAGAAGAAAAGGCTTCAGCTGCTGCATCCACAACACTTTCCTGCTCTGATGGAATAAAGGAGGCTGTGATGCAGTTAATCCACTGGTAACCATTCGGAGATTTTTCTGAACACTCTGACTTCTTACCTGGGAAAAAGAAATACTAAAGAATTAGATTAAAACTTAGCTAATAAAATATTTCAAAGCAAAATGCCCAGAATGTCACATCTTACAGAGTGAAATTATATTTTATTAGACTATTATGCTAAATCACAAGTTTATAACAAACCATATCCACCCATAGAATGAAAAATACAATATGATCAATGTCTTTACATTTATTTTTTTAAGTTTGTTTTTTTCTTTAAAATATAATTTTAAATAATTAAAAATACCTGAATAATTTATCTTAATGATTTCTTCGTTGTACATTAATCCCACTGTCATATAACAGGTGAGAATGACAAAACACAGAGGTGGAAAAAAAGATATTAAAAATAAAATTTCTTAATTTAAAATATAGGATAAAAGTAATTTTAAAAATTTGTTCCTAATCTAGAAGTATCAGCTTGAGAGTTGTGCTAGGAGCACATAATCATTTTTTATGTAAGTACCACAGTACCAGGGCACTGTGATATATGCAAAAATCAGGTTTGTATTACTCTACATATTACCTCAAAAGTCTAAAATGAGTAAAAAATCAGAAATGCAGAATTCTCCATTATAAATTGTTTTGCTGTATGTTCAAGCATAGCAGGAGAAATGAATTAATAAGTTAATTCATGCAAACACAAATTCAGCTTTATCATATTTTTGTTTGTTCTGGAGAAATTCAATGTCAAAGCTATTCACAACAGACGATTACTTAATTGAGTCAGAGAATTCTAGAATTAAAAAGAACTTTAGAGATCATCTAACACAATCATCATTTTGTGGTTTCCCATATGAAATCCAGAGAATATAAGTAACTTGTCTAAGATCACAAAGCTAATAAGTACTGGAACAGAACTTGAACCCAATTTTCTGATTTCAATGTTCTTTCCTATACACCATACTGTCTCTCATATTGTCATGCCAATGTTGAAAAAACCAATAACTGTATTTAACAATAAGTTTTGCAATAAAATAGACAAATCTCCATAGGCTCCATAGTTTGCAGGTGATTTTGTACCTTGCAAAAGCAAAATGAGGAAGACTGAGATTTTCAGACTTTTAAAGAAGTATTACTTTCAAGACTTAGGGTTTTCATATTAACAGTTAATGCTTCTCACTACATTAAAAAAAGTGAGGACAATTCATATTTAAAAAAGCAAATGTTCATCACCTAACTACAAGTTTAATCCATCTAATTTTAAAACTGTCTAAATGTAGAACATAACTAGAACCCATTTGTCTAAATTTAGTTGGAAAATAGTTTAATGGAATCATTTCCACTGGTTTGAGTACACTTTTCACTTTTCAAAAGCTGGGAATAGATGTTTTTTTGTTTTTTGTTTTTGTGGGTTGGAGGTTGTGAAGACATAGGTTAAATAGTAACCAATAGGAAAGTAGCAGGGCAACACATGCAGGCATGTTATAAATATATATAATACATACATATTTAACATGAAGTCATATGTGAACAAAAGCAAATAAGAATAGATCTATAATAATAAATAGTTGAATATAACCAATAATATAAACTCACAGTACTGTAAAAGTGGGGGATGCGATGATTTCCAGATGGGAGGTGGGATTCCATCCTGGCTGTTCTGTTCTGCTACAGCAGAAATATGATTCTCATTGCATTCCATCTCACATGAGCAATTAATCGCAAAAAGTTTATCTGGGGATGCCAGCTGCTGGGGGGAAATTATACTAATGATGAGACTGAGAAATGATAAATCAGAAATTTAAGACTTAAGTAAATAAAGCTAAAATAGTATATATTATCCAATATTATGAATAGAAAAATACATAATAGACATGCAATATCTGGCAACTAGAAAGAAGTGGAGCTCAGTATTATAATGTTGGTAAAATATTCTTATTGAGGAGCAAAAGCACCAGTCTACGCTGTTTTCTGGGTGGGTCTCTTCTTGGCTGGGGCCTTCTGGCTGGAGGTTTTCTGACCCTTCTGAGCCTTTTGGCCAGGGGCGGCCTTCTGACCCTCAGCCTTCTTCAAGGGGACCTTCCTGGCGGAGACCTCTGCAGCCAGTGCCTTCTGGGCAGCCCCTTTCTTGGGAGATCCCTTCTGGGTGGACGCCTCCTGGAGCATCTTTACTTCATGCTTGATAATTCGGTTTCTCATTTTCTTGGCCTTCATGACTTTGTAAAGGTCAAAATCTGTCATCTTAGCTTTCCTTTCTCTGGCTTCAATCTTCTTGGCCCATCTTGTGGCTTTCCATTTTGTATTGATATTTTCTTTCTCCCAAGCAGCCCGGACATATTTCTGATGAGCACTGTGTGGGAACTTGAGCACAAAGTCTGTAAGTTGCATACATTTAAATGGCATGGCCTGCCTCCTCACGCCACTGCATGGGCCATCAACCAAAGCCCTGTTCTGATCAATAACATCCACAACAGCTACCAGCTTGCCAGCATGTGGCCCAAAGGAAATGTAGGCCACCCGGCCAATTTCCACATAGTGCTTGAATACCATGTTGGTGGCGCCGAACGAGAGCTAAAGATGAATATTCTTGACTCCAGACCCAGAACCCTATCTATGGTGCCAATGCATTTTTACATGTACTTTAGGCAACAGGGATCACCCAAAAAGAAAACTGTCATTCAGAGATGAGAGGCAGAAAATCATAAAATGAAAAGCATCTTGTCAGTAATCTTGGACCACAGTGGTGCTTTATCTATTGGCCTATATATCATTTCCCTTCTTTTCTCACGAAGTTCTGTATCTAGCTTACAATCTATCTCCCCCTACTTGCTTGTACACAAAAGGGCTTCAACATACATTATGATTCTTCCTCAAGCACTGTAATCTTCCAGTTCTTCAATTTCCTCAAATTTAATGACCTGATCCTCCACTGTATCTTTTCCATGCACAAGAATGGTCATACTCTTGATTTTGCCATCATTCACAAGTCTTCCAACTTCCTTTCTGAAATTTCCTTATGTGACCACAATCTCCCATTGTGCCACGTGTCCCTAAACCTATTCTTTATCTTCACTATGACCTCCAATCCCTCCATTCAATAATTTCTCAGGTCATTATTATCTCTGTTCTGACTTTTCTTTACTCTTTCCAAATCAAGACACTATAATTGACACTTCCCAATCTGTGTTCACTACAAATTTATTTTATTTAATGAATGGGTCCTCATTGCAGCAAGTAATCTTTTTACTTCTCTCTAATGGATTCTCTATCCCACTAAGCAAAGTATCTATTTCAAACCTCTTTTCTCCTCAAACCTTCTAGATTTGTAGAAGCTATGGTCTTCACCTTACACTCTACTGAGATAATAAAGACCATCTGTTGTAAACTCCATCTTCTCCCCTTTTCTAAATCCCCAGACCCCTGTATATCACTCCTCACTGTTGATCCTCCTTTTCTATGGTATCTAATGAAGGAGCCCTTCTCCTCACCAAAGACAACCCTTTGACATGTGCTCTTGATCCTATCTCTGTCTTCTTCAGCAGTTTTTCTTCTCCATTATTACTTTCTCTCTTTATGCTTTCTGGCTAGTCAACTGCTACCTATAAACATACTTTTTCCGCCCATCCTTAAAAAAAAAAATTGCTAGACCCTAATGTTTCTCAAGTTATCACCCAATCAATATTTTTTTTCCTTTCATAGCCAATCTCCTAGAAAAATGATTTTCACTCAATTGAAAATTTTCTTCTTACACCTCACAACTATTTGATTTTTGATTTAATCACTTAACTGAAACTTTTCCCTCTAAAGTTACCAATATTTTCTTAAATGACAAATTTAATGGTCTTTTCTCAATCATTATCCTTTCTTAACTCCAAGTAGCATTTGACACTATCAATAAGCCTCTTTTTTTTCTTGTATACTGAGTTCTCTACATTTTCATGATACTACTCTCTCTTATATATGTGACCACTCCTCAATCTTTTTTGCTGGTTCTTCATACAAATACTTTCTTTTAATTGTGGATTACTCTAAGGCTCTGTCCTTGGCCCCCTTTTCTCTCCATTATGGCACACTCATCATCTCCCACAAGTTTACTCTGAGTTACCACTCCGCAGATAACTCAGATCCAAACATCCAGTTGTATTTTCTCTCAAGCTTCAGTTCAACATCACAGATTATTTATTGGACATTTCAAATTTGATGCCCCATAGACATCCCAAACTCAAATGGTCTAAAATAGAACTCAATTTCTCATTCTCCTTCACCCTATATATACAAACAGTTAACAATCTTGTTGCATTTTCAACAATATCTCTTATATAATGCCTCTTCTTGGTACTGACAAGGCCACTCACCCTCTTAGTTCAGGCCCTCTTACTTGGACTATTGCAATACACCTGCTTAGTCTCCTAATCAAGTCTCTCCCATTCTAATTCATCTTCCACAAAGCCATCAAATTGATTTTCCTAAAGCACAGATTTAACCATGTCCCTTTCCTATTCAATAAATACCAGTGGCTCCCTATTGCTTCTAGGATAAAATGTAAACTCCTCTTTGCTCATTAAAAGTCCTTCAAAATCTGACCCCAACCTCCCTTTCCAGCCTTATTACATATTACTCTCCTCCCTGCACTCTATTGTCTAGCTAAACTGGTTGTCTTGCTGTTTCTCACACATGACTTTCCAGTTCTCATGTCTGTACCTTTGCACAGGCCACATTCCACTGCTTACTCCATCTGTAGAATAAAATCCCTGCTCAGGTTCATTTCTTAGGATTCCTTACTTCTCTAAAGATTTAGCTTAAGTTTGAAGTAGAATAACTTTAACATGAAGTCTTTCCTTATTTCCCTAGTTGCTTGCGGCTTCCCTACCAAATATAAAGGTATTTATTTTCTGCATACTTATATGTGCTTTAGAATGTAAGCTTAAGGAGGGATAGTCTCATCTTTGTCTTTACATCCCTAAATATAGCATAATGCCTAGAAAAAAATAGGAACTTAATAAATAAATGTGTTGACTGCATTGCCATGTCAAGCCACCATAAGAAAATCACAAGGACCATTATTAATACAAATATGTCCAAATGGGTAAAATTATGCAGCACAATGGACAAAGTTCTGGGCCTGGAAAACTTATATTCCTGAGTTCAAATCTGGCCTTAGACACTTACTAGCTGTGTGACCCTGGACAAGTAACTTAATCCTGCTTGCCTCAGTTTTCTCATCTGTAAAATAAGCTGGATAACGAAATGGCAAACCACTCCAGTATTTCTGCCAAGAAAACCCCAAATGGGTTCACAAAGTGTTGGACGTGACCGAAAAGTGACTGAACAACAACAAAAAGGGATAATGAAACTTAGAAAACTTGCTATTATCTATAAAATAGTGAATTTATTTTTGTTCCATGTTAACTCTGTCCTGAAATACTGGTACTTCGGATTTCAACTACTTCAAAGATTTAATGAAAATGAAAAAAAAAAAAAAAGAAAACAAAAAAACCCCTTGGTTCCTGATTTTTAATTCCTTTCCTCTATCAAATTTTATACCTTAAAAGGATGGTAGAAGAACTGATATTATATCCTGTAAACTGTATAGTACTTTGATTCTTAGTAATTTTCATAATAAATAAACATCTTGAGAGTTCTCCTAGAGAGATTTTTTTAATATATAACAGTTTTTCTTTTTTATAAAGAGCTTTCTGTAAGGAATTTCAATTATCAATGCAGATTGATATTTTGTAACTCATATTCTTAAGAGGGTTGCCTGAGAGTACTAATAGATAAATGGACTTGCTTGTATGTGTCAGAAACTTAATGAACTCAGATCTAGAGGCCAGCTCTCTATCTACTTATCCAGGCTATCTCTCAGAAGGAAATCTAACCACTTCAAATCATTACTTGTACTCCCCCAAAAAGTTTGTATTAAAGCAGGAAAACCCACATAGCTTATAGTTTTTATAACAACAAAAGTTGAGGGTATGATGAAATTTGCCCTCTTCAAACTCTGAAAGTCACCTGAAACATACTTTTAGGTTTCTTATGTCTATTTTAGTGATTCTCACTATATATTCAAAGTGTAGATCCTTTTTTAAGGGGAGCAAAGAAATCTCAAATTGCCACATAAACTACTACATAGCACCACATTGCAGAAAATATTCATGGGCTGGTCATTTTCCCTTCCCAAGACTGAGGGAGAGAAGAAGGTAGCTTTGTATCTTGTAAAGTGTTCCTGTCCTTCCCACTATTATCTTTAAACTTTGATAACTTGGAGTAAACTGTGTAATTGCATTCTTAGGAAATAAACAATAATCTCTGAGTACTAAATTTTTTTTAAAATGTCATATTTACTAAATAAATATTATTTGAATCTCAACTAATACCAAAAAACTCATAATTAAGCACTCCTTGTAATTTTATTTTCAAAATCTACACTCACCCCCATAAAAAGGAGTTGTTCACTATAATAAACACTGTTACAAAGAGATAATTTTGCTATTTTATAGTTGTTTATACATTCAGAAGAATATACATCTAAAAACACACAAGTACATACATAGATGTGAATTTAAAGAAGAAGAATGATTTGAAACACCACAGATGAAAATCAATCTCCTTGTAGTTACACCAAGTATATAGCAACCTTATATTCAACTGAATACTTCGCATAATACAAGGAAGAACCAAGTGGTCATTTAATGGTCTGAAACAGAAGGCATCTACTCAAATCATCTGGAATTAGATAATTTTAAAGTTAGCTTTGCCAAAAGGAAGCAAAGCCAAAATCAATTCTAAAATCAGAAGAGAATAAACAAAGTATCTCTGTCTACCCTGTAATCTGATTTGTCTACCCAACAATCCATTTACTTGAAAAACTCAAAGGAAGGAGACAGACTAACTAAAGGTACACGGAGATTTTGACTGAGTAATCCATTACCATTCCACATGTTTAATAACAATTATTTTTGTTTAATGCAGGCTATGCTCCCCACAGTAAAGCCTGAGGTCAACTATAATGATGTATTTGCAACACCAAAATCTATGTCATACCAAAAGGTGGATGTAATTTGGAGAGGTTTATGATCTCAGTTCATGATAAAGGGTTAGAAGCCAGACTATAAGGGTAAAAGCTCTAAGAAGAAAAGACACTGATTTCAAAAAGGAAATGCAAATGGTCAATAGGTAATGATGTTTTAAAAATAAATGTTCTCTGTCTTTAGAAAAATGTTTGTTTCAGTCTGAAAGTTCCCTTATAAGCAATGGAACTGACCCCTGGCTTATAATTATGCTTGGGTCAAAAGTCTAAACTAGAAATTCAAAATGTACATAAAAGTCTGGCTTTAGTAGGAAAGGAAAGGCTCCAGTTAAGTGAAGCCTCTATGTTTGAAAGTTCTCAGGAAAGGCTCAATTACAACTCCCTCATTCTTTTCGGAAAAGTAATTCTAACAGAAAGGTCATTCCCTAGGAGAGGTTCAAGAGGAAGTTAATAAGAAAATCTACTGCAAAAAAGGCCTAATGTTCTCTGACTGGACTTTATTTTATTTGGTCAGAAGAAAAGGTCAGATGATAC